CTGGAACCGACAGGGTGGCAGTGGGTGGCCCACTGGGACCTTGTGTTGACTGTCAGAGCCACACAGTGGCCCACAGGTCAACCCCCAGCCTGCTGATGACCGCTGCCTGCTGAGCAGGTGACCCCGCTGGGTCCCTGGGGTTCCTTACCTGCCAGGGCCGCCCCCCACCCCCTCGGCCTGCCCTTGCCTGAGAAGCCTGGCTGGTGAAAAACTGCAATCTGATTTCCTCCTAGTCCAAGCCACCAGGCTCCCCTGCCCCTGCTTTTCAAAAAATGCTAATTTTGTTTTTCAGGTTTCCCTGAAAGGGAGGCAGAACCCTCAAGGGGCTGGGGGGAGGACAACCTGGCCTGTTTTCCTGTTGTCGCTGGAGGTCAAGAGGCAGTTTGTGAGAAAGCAGACAGGAGAAAATGGGGATGGTGCGGTGGGGGGGTGGTGAGTGGTGTGTGTGTGTGTGTGTGTGTGTGTGTGTGTGTGTAGCTGGGTCAGCCAGCCACTGTGTGAGTGAGGGAGCGCAGCGCCCAGGCCCATGCGAGGGCCAGTGGAACCCCCACCTGCCGCACCTCACACACATATGGGGCTTCCTAATTACTGCCGTTCTCTGCTCCCTGGGGGGCCCTTCACACCAAGTCTCCAGGCGGGACCAGCAGGGAGGGGAACCCCAGGGCCAGGCCCTAATTGCCCCAGCACACATCAGGGCTGGGAGCCACCTGAGGAAACAGGGCTCGGGGCACAAGAGGCTGCCCCATGTGTACACCAGGCCTCACTGGCAAGGGGGTTACCAGGCTCTGGACCAGGGGCTGTGGGGACCCACCCAGTCCCAGCCCAGACACTCCCTCTCCGGACCACGACTCTCCGTAAGGCTCCTCGCAGGCCCAGGTGGGCTGGTGGTGGTGGTGATGGTGGTGGTATCCTTGGTGGCAGTGGAGATAAGGGGCATGAGCTTTATCTATTCACATCCTCACAGCAGGTGCAAAGTGGGTTTATAATCCTCTGTTGATACTTAAAGAAACCGAAACTGTCCTTACGCAACTTACCAATGATTTCGTACGACACTCCTTCCGAGGACACAAACACACTGCACATTCTGTGTGAGACACCTCAGTGGGGAAGCAGGGGGGCGGCAGGACAGAGGACGGCCCTCCACAAGGCGGAGTGACGGCTGCAGGGACAAGAGTGAGGATGGCGCGGGGCAGGATTTCCTCCTGTTGTGCGCGGTGAAGTGGGGGTCGCTATGGGTTGGAGCCAACTCGGTGGCACTAACAACAAGAAGTTCTCTGTGTGTGACAGGCTGTGCATGTGAGAGTGTGTGTGAAAGATAGACTGTGCACGTGAGTGTGAGTGTGTGTGATAGACTGCACATGAGAGTGTGTGTGCATGTGTGTGATAGGCTGCGCATGTGTGTGTCAGAGAGACTGTGCACGTGAGAGTGTGTGTGTGTGACCAGCTGCACACGTGAAAGTGTGAGTGCGTGTGTGTGATAGGCTGTGCGTGTGAGTGTGGATGTATGCACGTGTGTGACAGGCTGTGCATGTAAGAGTGTGAGTGTATGTGTGACATTCTGTGCATGTGAGAGTGAGTGCATGGGTGTGTGATAGGCTGTGAGTGTGTGAGATAGACTGCATGTGAGTGTGAGTGTGTGTGTGATAGACTGTGCATGTGAGTGTGTGTCTGATACCCTGTTTCCCCAAAAATAAGACAGTGTCATATTAATTTTTGCTCCCAAAGATGCGCTAGGTGTTATTTTCAGGAGATGTCTTATTTTTCCATGAAGAAGAATACGGTACACATTTATTGTTTATTGTTTTATTAAAAGAGACCTCACACTTCCTGTCTCCTCCAGCTGCGCTGCAGCCAACAGTGAGCTGTGCAGCGGCGCCCACCACTATGGTCCAGAGTTACGGTAGCTTCAGGGGGGCTTATTTTCGGGGAGGTCTTATTTTCGGGGGTGCCTTATATTTCAGCGAGGAAAAACTGTAAGTAGGTCTTATTTTCAGGAGTGTCTTACTTTTGGGAAAACAGGGTAGACTGTACGTGAGTGTGAGAGTGTGTGTGTGTGTGTGTGTGTGAGGCTGTGCACGTGAGAGTGTGTGTGTGATGGGCTGTACATATGAGTGTGACGTGTGTGTGTGACAGGCCGTGCATGTAAGCGTGTGAGTGTGTGTGTGAGTTTGTGCGACAGGCTGTGCACGTGAGTGTGTGTGTGTGTGTGGTAGGCTGTGCATGTGAGAGTGTGAGTGTGCATGCGCATGTGTGACAGGCTGTGCATGTAAGCATGTGTGTGTGAGCGTGTGTGTGACAGGCTGTGCATGTGAGTGTGTGCGTGTGTGCGCGCGCACGTGAACAAGAGAGTGTGGGTGTGTTGTGGATGTGCACGCAGCACCAGGGGCCAGCAGGTATCCAGCTAAGCACAGAGCTGGGTTCCTGGGCTAAGAGCACAGGAGAGGGTGTGGCAGGGCCCTGGAATGGGATGGAACCTGGCTGTACCTCTACACACGCACCGGCCTTAGGCAAGTGTCAGCCCCATTTTCAGGGAGCAGAACGGGGCTCCGAGAAGCTAGCCCCATGGGGAAATGTCAGGAGAAGAATCTGGCGTCACCAGGAGGGTAGCAAGCCGCAGCAGCGTGGGGAGTGGCACCCCCTGCCGGGATGCCTGCACCACTGTCCTTGGCTGCTGGGCTCCAGCAGAGTCAGCGCCCCACTCCCCTGCCCTGGGTCGGCGGCTCAGACGGCAAGACCAGTGCCCGCAGCCCCAACAGCGCTCAGTGCGCTCAACCTGCACGGAGCAGAGGCCGAGAGCAGAGGCAGGACTCTCCTCGAGGAAAGGCATGTCCTGCCCCGTCCTGCCCACAGGAGGGAGCAAGGGGGGCGGGGGGCGGAGGCAGACACCCTGTAAACTTGGGCGGGGTCTCTGGGACCTCGCCAGACCACAGCTGAGACAGCCCAGCTAAGCCCAGCTTCCAGTAAACTGGACACAAGCAGAGGACTTGGCTGCTGCCGGTGCGGAAGGTCAGGGCCGGATTCCCTGCCCACATGCTCTGGCTGCAGCCCCCTCACCCTCGTGCTCTGCCTCTGTGGGGCCTGCCAGAGTGGACATCCTGGGGTTTCCTCTCCGAGGAAAACAAAAGGCCCACAGCACACGCCGCCTGCCCGCCCGCGTGTCCCCCTGAATGCGGCCCCGGTCCCACTCTGATGCCCCACCAGGCTCTCGAAGCCAGACAAGTCTTAAGCCGGGTGCAGGTGGAGCTGGAGCATGGGTCCCAGCCAGCAGGACCCCGCACGCCCACCTCCACCAGGGCCGCCTTCCTCAGCACTGGGGCCCCACAGTCCCAGCCCATCCTGAGCATGTGGTTGGGGCTAGGGAGGGCCTGGCAGCCTCTGACAAACACCTGGAAGCAGTCCAGGTAAGCACAGGGCCCCTTGTGCTAACTTACTAACCTGCCGTGAATAGTTTCATATGTGGAAGTGTTGACTCCTGGTCCCTCAGCAAAGTAGACCTGTGCTCACCTGACTTCCCAGGTGCTCCGTTCCTCTTAGGGACTGGGGCAGAACCTGCCTGCATGGTTTGTCACAAGCAGAAGGCCAGGGCCACCTGGGTCCAGCAAGTCCCCGGCTCCAGGGTCCCAGCAGGCAGCCCATTCCCTCTGTGTGTCTGGTCCCCTTGGGAACTCCCACAGTATTTCCCACGCTTCTGAAGGTCACCGCAGACTTCACCGACCCAGGGCCCAGCGGCTGGCCTCATGGTGACCTACACTCAGGGTGGAGGTCTGGGACACAGCCTGCTCTAGGGGGGCACAGGGTCAAGCATGGACACCCCCCAACCCCTACAGAGGACGGTCACCGGTCACCGTGGACTCAGATGGGTGGTTGGAAAGGGTGGCTTGTGTGGCAGAACAGTGCTTCAACAGGACTGATGCACCCACCTGGACACAGTGCCTCTCCTGCACCCTCCACCCTTAGGGGCAGCTCAGCAAAGCACATGGATAGGGGTTCTGATGGGCCCACCCCCAGACCTGGACACAGTGCCCGCCTTGCCTGTGTCCCCATCCATCAGGGGCAGCTCAGCAAAGCCACGGGCCACAGTTCTGAGAGGGCCACGATGGACCCAGCAGTGACTCCACAAACATTCAAACAGACTCCATCTGTGGTTGTGCACAAGCATGAGCACAAATAACTCGAGAATGTTCCGGAAGGGTCCTAAGGAACCACGCCGGCAGGCACCTCTGGGGACGGGGTAAAAAAGACATGTTCTATGTTTCCTCTCATGTTTGACAGGACAAAGGCGCAGATGCCTGCAACAGGTATCCCAGCATGACCGCATGCCTCGCAGTTTCACCGGCTAACACAGAGGTCACCCTCGGGCAGGCATCCAATAAGCCTGAAACCTGGGACACAGACAGACCCTGTGTGCCAACTTTCACTACACCAGATGTGGCCTCGGCACATGGAGGCCCCGACCGCAGATGGACACACACCATGAGGTCCGTCCATACGTGGGGTGTCACTCAGCCCCTGCGAGACACGATGCTGACCGGACATGGTCACAGGCCACAGGATAAGTGCTGTCTGATCCCACGCACAAGGAGCCCTGGGGGCATGGTGGTGGTGGTGGGGCTGTTTCTGCCTGCACAGTCGCGGTCTAGCGGTTTGAACTGCTGACCTCGTGTCACCCTGTGCACCCCCAGTCCTGTCAGCACAGGCTGGGGGACCACCAAGAGTGGCAGCACAGGGTGGTGGAAATAGACTAGTGAGTAAGCACAAGGAAACCTGTGCTTGCCTCACTGACTGGCTACACTGTCCTTGCCAAGGATGGGACATTTGGAAAGAGGCTTTGGTCTGTAGGGAGGGGCTGTAGGGCAGAGAGGGAGGCGGGTACCAGCCCTGCGGAGAAGCGGAATCTCTGATGTGGTGGACACGTGCCTGCATTCCCCGCCCATCTGAGAGTAAGCACAAGGGACCCTGCCTGCCCTCCCGGGACCCCAGACAGCATCAGCCCGCCCTACCTCCTCTCATTGTCATCCAGGTGGGCAAACAGCACGTTCCTGGCGATGGCCTTGGCCAGCGCCGTCATGGTCTTGTAGTCCTTGGGGATCACCTGCAGGGAGACCACAGAGGTCAGGACCTGGCCCAGAGGTGGCCCGGGAGCACCTGGCACAGGCAGCACAGTCCAGGCTTGAACCTGAGGTGGTGGGACAGCCTCCAGCACCCGCCTCCATCCGAGACCCTGTTGTTTTCAGGGACGTCTGATGACAGGGTCTGTCTGGGCTGCTGGGTCCTTAAGGCCAGGGCAGTGGGGACGGAGGGGGTGGGCAGCGGATGGGGAACACAACCCCTCAGTCCCACAGACAAGGAGGCCTGGCGGGTACCATGGGGCTGTGGCCTACAAGGTCAGTGGTTTGAAGCCACCAGCTGCTCCTGGGAGAAAAGCAGAGCTTTCTACCTCCCTGAGAGTGACCGTCTCGGAAACCCACGGGGCAGCTCTGCCCTGACCTCTGGGTCGACGTGATGGCAGAGCTTGAGCTTGGGTTTGGTCCGACAAACAGGAGCCTGGTGGGCAGCGGGTCACATGTTGGGCTTCCAGCCAGAAGGTCAGTGGTTCAAGCCCACGAGCCAATTCCACAGGGGCAGGTTCACCCTGTCCTGTAGGGTCCTGGGAGTCGGCTTGGACTTGGTGGCTGTGGGCTTGATTTGGGTGGGGTCCACTCCATGAAGGGCCCTGTGGTGGTGTGGGGGTTCAGCGGTCAGCTGCTGACCTGTGCCCACTGCATGGGAGGGAAAGGTGCCTGCTCCCATAAAGATTGACGACCTTCAGAAGCCTACTGGGAAGGCCTATGCCATCCTGTGGGGTCACTGAGTGCCCCCTGGGGTCACTGTACATCCTAGAAGTTCACTGAGAGAAATCCCCAACTTCATGTGGAATGGCAGGAAGCCCAGAATAGCTGCAGCAAAGTTCAAAGAGAAGGGCAAAGAAGGAGGGCTCACACTTCCTGATTTTAAAACACACTGCAAAGCTACAGTATTCAAAACAGCCTGGCACAAAGAGACACCAGCATCTAGAGATAAACTCACACAACTGTGGCCAACCGACTTTGGACAAGGATGCTACGTCCAGTCAGTCTCTTCCATAGAGGGTGTGGGGGAAACTGGGTTTCCACACGCAGAAACGTGAAACAGGGCCCTGCCACCTCCCACCAGGCACCAGAACAACGTCAACAGGGAGTAAGGGCCCAACCAAGTGAACCAAAGCCGCAGGGATCTTACAAGAACCAGCGGCCAAAGCAGCCAGTCCTGGCTTTCAACAGCGAGTCACCCAGCAGGAGACGAACGACCACAAACAAGTGGGACCTCGTAAAAATGCCTAACATTTCTCGTCAAAAACCTGACCGAAAAGTGACAAGGGGGGAGGATCTCAGAAAACCGTAAGAATCTAACCACATATATATGACCATATAGATGGATATATACCTAAAACACTCAACAACCTAACAGCAAAAAGATACATGAGCCAATCATAAAATGGGCAACGGACTGGGTCAGACATTGCCTCCCACCAAAACCAAAACCCACGGCCAGTGGTGCTGACTCATAGTGACCCTCCAGGACAAGGTAGAACGGCCCCAGCAGGTTTCTGAGACTGTAACTGTTTACCGGAATAGACATCCCCATCGTTCTCCCATCCCACCAAAGAGGATATAAAAGAAGCCACAAAGCAAAGAGATGTTCCACACCACTGGCCACCAGAGAGATGCATGTCAAACCAGAATGTGTCTCCCTCCGCTCGGGGACAAAGATAAAAGCAGAGTGACACAGAAAGAAAAGATCCGGTGTTGACCAGACACGGAGAAGCTGCCACTCTGTCCCCGGCTGGTGCAGAAAACAGTGTCACAGCTCCACAAAGACTGAACTAGAGTGGCCACATGACCCAGCAAGTCTGCTCCTGGGTGTGAAGCCCAAAGGCTTGGAAGCAAGACTCCAGTGCTGTCGAAGACAGCACCGCTCCCAGTAGCCAGAGGCAGACATACCCTGAGTGCCCATCAGCAGGTGACAGAAACCCAGAATGTGGTCCCTACACACAAAGGAACATCCCTGGGCCTACAGGAGACAAGCAGTCTTAATGCTACCAGGTGGTGGAGTCCGCAGACATCTCACTGAGTGAAATAAATAGGTCAGTCACAAAAGGACAAACATTGTATGGTTTTCCTGTTTAATAAGGTGAGAAAAGGCAAGCACAGAGACCAAAGTTCCTTAGTGGTGAGGGGGGTAGGAGGGCTAACTGGGTGGGAAGCCTCACACGGAGAAAGGACAGGGTGTGTAGCCAGTACAGTTCCTGCTGCCAGTAAGCTGTGAGCCAGCAGCAAGTCGGCTGGAAAGGGCGTGGGATGACCACGTCTGTAACAAGAGTGAGAGCAGCGGCTGCAGCTGCCATGTGCAGCCAGACGCCGTCTGGGACTGGGTGCCACTGGCTGGGAGCTTAGGACCCCAGTCTCCTGGGATGTCCCACTTAACTGGCCCAATGGCGTGCTGAGGGCTTCTATTCCACCTCTAGCTCCCGACTCAGTGCCTGTGGCCTTGAAAGCTCACCGCGCCCCCCAAGCCCCAGCAGCAGAGGACGGAGAATCAGGACAGGGATGCTGAATGTGTGACTGCCTCCGTGACCAGCAACCTTCACCAGGAGACAAGAAGAACCGAATGGTGCCTGGCTCCCGGGCTCATCATCCTCATCAAAGAGGCCACAGAAGATTCCGGGTCAAATGGGGAGGATGCAGAGGAGCATTTCAAATTCTCATGCACTCCTGATTCTCTGGAGCCACAGAGGTTGGCTGAACTCTTCCAACTATTGCCCTGAGATCACCTTCCAACCTTAGCACCTAGACACCTCCTAAAAGCTCCTGAAAACCCCACAGCACTTTAGTAGAAGCATGTCTGCCCCGAGCACTGAGCTCTTCAGCACTGTCTCCGGGGGATCAAGTGGCAGCGGCGGTGAGCAGGGCTGCCCCGGGGGCAGTGAGGTCTAGTTCGTTGGGAGGAGGAGGGTGGGAACAGCTGTACAATCTGAAGAGTGTCACCCATGTCACTCACTGAGCTGTGCGTGCAGACCTGGTTGGATGGACGTGGGGGTGCTGTGCGTCCTCACCCAGCACCACCAACCGAGGGCTGTAGGAGCACGAAGGGGGAAAGGCCCCATTCTGAGTGTGGGGCTGGGACGAGGGAGGGTGGGAAGCTGTCCCACATGATGACAGGTAGTCAGGTAGACAGGGACAGTGCACAGTCATTGTCCCCAGGGCTGAGAGCAGGCATTAGTGGCTTCATGGGGTTCGGAGATGGGCCAGGGGCTCCGACCTGGAGGATCATGAAGCCAGCACAAGGCCGACCCAGCCCTGCACCCACGTTCCCTGAGGGGCTCATAGACCAGCCCTGCTCCCCTGCCCAGAGGGGTCCAACTTGAAAAGGAAACCTTCTAAGGAGAGTCCAGAGGTGTTTGGTAATGCCAGCAGGGAGCAGGCACTTCCCCACCTGCACCCCCCAGACACACAGGAAAGAAATGGAGAAAGCAGCTCACTCCACTGTGGGACACCCCTTCCCACACATGAGTCAGTCCATCCGTCCGTGCCCGGTCCCATCCATGCGCCACTCACAGACCTGGGAGCAGAGGAGGAACCATGGTCCCTGCCCAGTCTGGGGCGGGGCTCACCTTTCTGACGTAGGAGACGGCATCCTCCTCCGTGTACACCTCGGCACTCACCCCCCCACGACGGCGGCGAGCCTTCACCACCGGGTTGGGAGGCAGCGGTGAGACCTCCTCCTCGCGGGAGTCTGACTGGGAGCTGGACTTCTGCAGAGCCAGGGTCTGCATGTTCTCCTCCTGGAGGGGGATGGGAAGGGGTGCCACTAGTTGATCCCTGAGTCGTGGTATTGCGTAATCATGTTCCATTTGTGATCCAATGTGATCACCCTGCACTTTGAGAACTGCTGGGACCGCCCTCCGAGCTGCTGATGAAGCAGGGCACAATCGACAGGGCTGGGTGTTTTCAGTGGATCTCCTTTGAAGAAGAGAGCACAGAGCAGAGGGAGCCGAGTCCCACCGAGAGGGAAGAGTGAGGGCAGAGGGTGTCCTTTGGACCCAGGGTCCCTCTAGACTCAGGTGAAGATGAATGTCAATACTCATGGAGGTCTCCACGTAATGCCGGGCCCACAGACGCTGAAAGGAGACAGAGTCTTCCCCCAGAGCTAGCAAGAGAGAGAGCCTTCCCCAAGAGCAGGCACCCTGTGTTGGGACATCTAACCCCTAAACTGCGGGAGAGCCAACTCTTTGTTTGTGAAGCCACCCCTGGTGGCATGTCCGTCACAGAATATCACAGCAGGAAGGGAGGAAGGACCTTCGGGGTCTCCAGAAGAGGAATGAGGGCACCATAGTGGGATTCTCACCCTCCATGCCAGAGACCCAGGTTCCATTCCCAGCAGTGCACCATGAGCACAACGCACACACTCCCATCGCTCTGCCAAGGGAGCCAGGGGTGTTGCCGCAATGCTGAGGAGGCAGCAGTGGGCCTCAGACTCAGGCAGACCAGGAAGCAAGGCCTGGCCATCCACTTCAGCCGGGAGAATAGATCCTGACGCCGGTGCAGGCCCGGGCAGCATGCTGCCCCTTAAGTTTGGTTTTGTGTTCACTTTCAATCGCTTTATTGGGCGCGCTTCCTGGCAGCATAACAATCTGCAGTTCAATCCCATCATGCAGTGCTGCTCAGTTGCCACCACACTCCGTTCAGGACATCTTTTTCTCCTTCAACACCTCGGGACCAGCTCCTCTGTAGCCCTTCCCTCCCCCGCCCCACCCCCCAGGAACACTGTTTTTATTTCCCCTAGAATGGGGTTTGTGGTGGGATTTTTTAGCCTGGCAATAAATATTTTAATTTTGTGTTTGTTTGGGGCGTATGATGACAAATAACTTTCAAGTTTATTTCCTTTCCTTTAAATACAGAGGTAAGCCACACACAGGTGCAGCCCAGCCATTTCCCCTCACACGTGCACACTGGTGTGGGAACCCCCCCTCCCCCCATGGCTCCAAGCTGGGCTGGGCAGGGCCGGAAGACTTTCTAAGGTAAGCACCATCCTGGGGCCTGGGAGCTTTGGAGGACAGGCTCTCACACCTGTCTCCATTCACATTTACCTGGGACCGACCGGGGTGGGCGGGGTTGGTTCCTTACGTTTGCTCATAGACTATGTGGCTTGGCTTGAGACCAGAGCAGACCAGGGGCAGCAGGCTCGCTGAGATGCCTGCCTTCAGCAGAGTCCGACTCAGGGTGATGTCTTACAACGGCAGTTCAAAACCACCAGCCGCTCCTGGAGAGAAAGACGGGCTTCCTCCTTCTTTAGCTTTGATGGGGCAGAGATTGCACGGTCGGCAGTTCAAAGCCACCAGCAGCTCCTCGGGAGGAAGACTGGACTTTCTACCCCTGTCAACAGTTTCAGTCTTGGAAACCCCCGGGGTCGCTGTGCGTCTGGAAAATCTGGGCAGCCCACGGTGCAGTTCTCACCCTGTCCTGCAGGGGCGCTGTGAGGTGCACACCCGCGCAAAGGCCGTGTGGGTTTGGAGCATGTGAGGTGGCGCTCCACTCAAAATAAAATTTGACTTTACAATAAAGTGACCAGACGTCCCGCTTTTTAACAATTTTTCCCGCGTCCCGTGGTGTTTTTTAAAAGTCCCGATTTTTGGAAAGACTGCAAGACAAGCTAGGGTAGACGGTTTTCAGCTGCCATGTGGCTATTTCGCCAGGATATACGTTTTATCAATGGTGTCCCGCTTTACCAATGTTAAAATCTGATCACCTTACTTTACAAATACAAAGTGAGCAGAAGACGGTGGGCGAGAGGGGTGGGGCCCGTGAAGGCCCAGGCTGTGTGTCCTCAGGGGTGTGGTGAGCAGAGGGGGCCCCAGACTTGTGAACTGTGAGAGGAACTCCACTCAGTCCCCCACGCACACACCCTGGCTTATCCTGGAAGAGGTGAGTCAGCCGAGGTCCAGCTGGGCTGTCCATGGGAAGCCCCCTCCTGCTGCCTGCACCTTGGAGTGAGCCCTCTGACCAGTTGGGAGTTCTCCGGCGGCTCAAATCCTCCTCACTTTGCTTCACCTGCAAACACTGCTCTTTTTTTGTGAATTATAAAGCCCTTAGGTGGGGAGGAGGAAATGAGCTGATACCCAGGGCTCAAGTAGAAGGCAAATGTTTTGAAAATGATGATGGCAACATATGTACAATGGATGGATTGTGATAAGAGCAGTAAGAGCCCCAATAAGATGATCTAAAAAATGTGGGCATTTCAGGGTCTTCCAGGCCCTCCCTCAGCCCCCAACCCCTAACCCATCAGCTGTCTCTGCCACCGGACCCCACCGGGAAGAAGCCAAAACTCACCCCAGGTCAACCCACAATGGCCCCTGTGGGTTTCCCAGACTGTAGCTGTGGGCAGAGAGAACCCCATCTTTCTGCCACAGAGTGGCTGGTGGTTCTCAACTGCGGACCTGGTGGTTAGCAGCCTGGCATGCAACCTCTGTGCCACCCTGTGCTCCTCAAACCTCCGGACATGACTGTATTTGGGAAGTGGGTTCCGGTAGACATGATGGAGATCAGGGTGCATGGGTGTGTGCGTGCGTGCGAGAGCCTCCAGGAAGGGACTGGTTTTACGTCCAGCGAGAGTGTCCCCAGGAGAGGCAGAGAAGCAGGCAGCCACGTGAGGATGGAGGCGGAGGAGGAGGGACAAGGATGGTCAGGGGCCAGCAGAATCCAGAGACCCAGGAAGGCGTTTCCCAAGAGCCTCACCCAGGGCTCCCTAGCCCAATCACTGAGAGTTGAGTCCAGGTCTCCAGCTGGAAAGGAGCAAATTCCACTCACAGCATCTGCATGAAGGGTGGACCCTGGGGATGACCAGCCCCTGCAACCTGGGCTCCCGGGACAGGCTGTCACTGGCCAAGAGTGCCCCGGTGTAAGGACCATGCCCACACCGTGGGCTGGCACCATGTCACCGGGTGAGATCCCTAGGCGACCACACAGAGCCAGAGAGGGCGTTTCTGTCTCACTACCCGTGTGGCCTCCCACAGTCTTTACTCTGGGGCCCCTCCCCCAGGATCAGACATCGCCACTGGAAAGTCATTAGGAGGAGTCTCTGGCCCCACCGCCAGTGGACAAGCCCCAGTGATTTTCATCCGTGACAAGAAAACGTCACTGTGGGCAGAGCCCACTCAAGCAATGTCCAGGGACTCTCTGGAGGGGCGGCCGTGCCCTGGGGACGGCTTCATTGACTTCAAGCCACCATAGCAAAGCTCAGACTCCCAGGCCCAGCGCAATCCCTCTGGGAGGCTGGGATGGAGGTTCGGGCCCAGCCACACGGCAGCCCGAGAGGGAAGGCCAGCCTCCGTGCCCCGCCACCACTCCTCCGAGCGTCTGCTCCAGGTGAGAACCCGAGTTACCGCACACTCATCCTGAAGACACGTGCTGGCCCTGCCCTCGAGCTTCACATGGACAGAAGGGGGACAGGCGCCCAGACGTGCTTCACAATGGACAGAAGGGGGACAGGCGCCCAGACAGGTCCTCGGGCTGTCAGACACCCGGGGATGGCAGCCAGGGTCCCTGGGCCGTCACTAGCGCCTGGGTGGGACGTCCCAGGTGCCAGGGGGCGGGCAGAGGGGGGCTGTGTGTGATCTGTGGGCTGAGAACACGCAGACCGCTGCTTCCACGGAAACACCAAGCTCTCCTGTTACCATGACAACGGCCCAGGCCTGGCCCCCCAGGAGGGCCGGCAGTCCCTGGTACCAAGGACGGCCTGCCTTTTTATATCCCTAGCTATGGCACCTCGCAGGGAGGGGGAGACGGTGACACACTGAAGTGTGCCCTGCCTTGCACAGTGGGAGGAGCCCATCAGTCAGGGGCCCACTTGACAAAGCCCTGGCACGCATGCAGGCAGATGGAAACCAGGAATTCTGACAGGAAATGCCAGGCGTGCCACTTGGGAGCGATCCTGGCCCTTGGGTTTTAGAAAAAAATGACATCTATTGCGAAGGTAGGTGTCGAAATGGGACGTGGGAACTTGAAACGTGGCATTCTCAAAAGACACACTGAGTGAGGACACCGGTGACAGCTATGCGCATTGGCACAGACACTCCTTGTCATGGAGTTGATTGGGACTCAGAACGGCCCTCCAGGACAATATAGCACTGTCCTAGTGGGTTTCCAAAACTGTGAATCTTTACAGGAACAGCCAGCCGCATCTTCTCCTGCGGAACGGGCTGGTGGGTTTGAACCACCAACCTTGTGGTTAGCCGCCCAACATCGCTGCCCGTGATGCTAGGAGGCATCCTGATTCCTAAGCGAGGAGCCCAGGGGCAAGACGGTTCTTAGGGCAGGGGCAGGGAGCTGTTAGGTCGGCTCTCTACACCCCACATGGGCACGCCGCCGCCGGCTGGGCCATCGATACAGTCTGGTCAGGGTTGCAGCCGAGGTGTTAAGTCTAAGGCCTACAGCATTCTGAGCAAACCAGGCACGATGTGGTCTGACAACCACACACAGAAAGAGCATTTTCTGCAGCACCTGAAGCAACACGCAGAGGGATCCAAATCCCTTCCGCGGATTCCGGAACACCTACTTCACCGCATAAGCACGGTTTTAATGACACTGGGCTTGTGGGTGTGCAAAGAAATGGTTGTGTGAAGTTTGTTTTTTAAAAAACGAAAGCAAGATTTAAAATTCTTTACAATGCTGCCTGTTTGTAAACACACACATCTATGTGCACACGTGTACATAAACATACAAGTAGTCATCTATCCCTTTCCTGCGTGTGGAAGGAGGAGTGTGTGTGTGTGTGTGTGTACACGTG